GTACGTACGCGTCACACACACACACACACACACACATATATATATATATATATATATATATATATATATGAGATGTCTAACCTAGAAGCCTATGTATCAGACCCTAAAAAATGAGAAGGAAAGTTTCATATTGCATATAGAATACAGACACATGGATATATTAGTCAAGACGTTTACTAGGAAGAGTTCTGGACATCGAAATATACATTCAGATGTACTTTTATTTGCAGTGGGTCTACTAAAGTGACAAACACATGTATTACCATTGAACGTCTATACATCCCCAAGTAGCATTGGAAATTATGAGAACTTACCTGCAGCGATCAAAGCCAAATAACCAAGTGAGGGAAGTGCACCGGATTTCGCATCCACCACTGGCGCCTTCACTGGTGCTTTCCCTTTATCCTTGTTGGAAACATTATTTCTCTGCTTCGCAGCCATGATGGCGATCTTCTTGCGACGGTATATTTGCCTTACACTCTAGTATCCGGTGTTATGCACCTGCACACGCATTATAAAGTATATATATATGTATGAGAGAATATGTATTTATCGAAAACATTTCAAACGCACAAAAAGTTCTGTTTACAGTTGCGGTCGTGTCAGTCGTGTCAAGATTTCACAATGACAGGTGCCATGAAGTCGCGAATGCCGCCAAAAAAATTATGAGCGGTAAAAAACCTGGTTTATATTATGACTTTACTATCCAATGGGATATGTTGAACTAGTGGTTGGCAAGGTAACAGGTGAAATTGCAAAAGTCATGTATGTAATACTATAACACGAACTGTGGTGACTCTTGATGAGCTGGTGATTTAATATTTTTATTACCCACGGCAAGTCACAAGCACAAGAGTGAGACTGACAGCTGTGATAGGCGTGACCGTGGAGCCTATACTCTGATGATACATATAAATGTAATATACCCCTTTGGATCCTTTCAACACCCCTGTTTGTTGTAAATCTATTATTGTTGATTGTTGGTTACCCTCCTTTTGATTTTAACATTTAGATAGGCATAGACCTTAATAGTTAAAAGGCCTATTTAAAATTCTGAGCATACTTACTTCAGTTCCATCCAGGATACAGCAGGTTAAAAGCCATACAGAAACGCGTTTGAGACTCCTATCGATGTGCCCCGTAGTTATCCCTCGGTAGCGTTTCAACGCATTCATAGAGGCAGGAAGTATCACATAGAAACCAGATTTCTTGAGATTCACACAGAAACGTACCGTATTTAACTACCGGAGAGCGATAGACTATACTATATATATCTCACAAGATGAAGGGGAGTGGCCCAGTACACATTCGAGTGCTTTTAAAGGCTGCCGTATTTTCTGTGGTGATCTTGTGCTTTGTATTGCTCACAAAGACGCCAACAACCTTCGACGCAATAAGGTAGGTCAATCGCTGTTGTATAATCATCTAATGAGCACTATGATGTGTACGGATTCAGATGCAATGCAAATGAGTTCCGACCTTGTGATACCTTTGTACCAAAAAGAATTCGAGGCATTCACACTGTAGTTGATGTTTGTATTCACATCCTCGTGGGTGTATCAGATACTTTGGAGATGATTGTTTCCCATTATTAAGTTATTGGCTGAGGTAGGCTGAGTGTAAGAATGAATGCAAGTAGGGGCTGGGTGGATCAGATGTAGCAGTTTATATGCCCATCTACATCGCGATGTGTATGCATATAACAACTATGAACGCAATACAATCAAATGTGTACTACGTAGAGTTTATGCACGAACATGTGCTGATACATATCATGTCTGGTTGTGAGGGTGTGTTTTGTTGCAAATGTATATACTGTGTGATGAGACCATACTCATAAGGATGAGAATGTTGTTTACAAGGTAAGCTACCATGTTTGCGCAGAACAATGAGATCGTATTCATGTGCAGGTTATTCACTAATGGCAATCAGTCCTAATCTGTGCGTGTTTGTTAATGCATATTTAGTAAGAATATGTTTAATTTCATGACTATCTGTACCACTTTCCATGAAGGTTGTGTGTACTCATATATCCATATCCCACGTACATTCATAAACCAATATGTTTATGCTTATTATCAAGAACATTTCTGAATAAAGAGTTACCATAGTGTATGTTTGCATGTGTGGAAACCCATATGTGTATTTGTAAATTTGTGTGAAATCGGAATTTCTATGCGAGTTCCCGGTTGAACTCCTATTACATATTATAAGTTTTTTAAATATGTATTGTACATGGACTATATAATCTATTTAGGTGCAATCTCACTTCGCGTACACATTGAATGTTTGTACGATCTATCATGCCATGCAACAACTATCGGAATTTGTGTTGTGCATTCGAAATATCTTAAAAATAATATCTGCAGAATGTTGTAGCAAACACACGTATATATATATATATATATGAATGCTCCTTGGCTTTTATTTATTTGCAAATCGGATGACAGTCCCCGCATACGTTAAAAATCATCAAGTCGTACAACTATTTGTCTCGAATCTCTTGTTTGTCTATGGATGTCTGTGCATGTCTGTATTCAAGACTTCTATAGAATGCCCCGTGTCATGCGTACTTTGACCACCACGTGGACGAATCAGTACAAATATCTACTAGTCCAAGATATATGAAATGATTTGATCTTTCTGTCTATAGTAAACTACGCATGTAGAGATAGACTGGGATGGTGTATTTTCAATCGCGTACTTTCTATTTAAACATGTACAACTGAATCTCTCTATGTAAACATCCAGTGGCAGAGGTATGTGATTCAATGAAGCATAAATGTAGGAGCACGACAAAACCGTAAATAGTGTGCTATTTGTATTGACACTTTCATGTGTACCTCTCATCTGTTCGGTTTTGAACGAAGATAATTTCAGTCGGAAAAGTACATTGTCTTGTCTCTCCTTCGCAACAACGACATATATATATACATATAAGTGAACGAGCATGCGCACCCGTATGTGTAGCTAAATACTTCAACAATCATTGTGCTAGAGTTGGCGCAGTTCAACACACACATGAAACAACCTATTGTATCCGCCCATCCGCTTTTTGATAGTTCGGTACCTTGTTTAAGCCATGGCACGGTGTATCTGCTGTATCGCTTTAGCGCGTCAAGGTGAACGTAGTGGTAATTTATTAAGTGCTTGTAGTAGTTTGTTTAGACCACGTCTTAACACTGGAAAAGATCGCGATACGGCCAACACAGGAACCAACAGTCTATAACAAGAATCATACGCACCACTCCTCACGGTTTGTGGTCCATTCTATTCCGGCCTTCTCATTTCAGACAAGTCTCTGCCATAGAAACTGGATTTTGACTCATTTTTTTATATTCAGGAATTTTAGTATGAGCCAACCTTGGTTGCAGGAGGCTAGCGACACGCAGCTGTCGGCCGAGAGTACTGAAGTCTTTCGAGCAGATGATAAGAATGCGAAACTCCAGACCATGGAGGACAACCACAGCACCAGCCAGGCGAAAGCAAACGTTGTGGAGGATAAAAGTGATACAGAAGATATGGTATTAAAAGATACGGATACCGTGACAGGTACCAAACCCGGAGAGGTGGCTATGATGGAGAAGATGCCTGTCGATTCTGAAGAGAAATCCGGTGCAGCTTTGGTCACTGAAACCCATAAGTCCAATAACAATGAGCTGCAGGAGAGCAAGAAGATCGCAAGCAGTGGGGGTGGGCCAGATAGCACGGACAATGAGAATGAAAGTAGTGATATCAAGGCGAAAAGTAGTACTGACGAGCACGAGGGTAGTGGCAAGGAGGAGGAGAGCCGGGATGACCAACAGACGAGTGATACTGAGCGTACAAAAGGGGATGGTGAGAAGACATACAGCAGTGACGATAAGAACCAGAGTGACCACGAGCACACCAACAGTGATACGGATACAGCCAAACCACCAACTGAGTCAGACAAGGAATATATGGGGACTGCTGATACCGATTCGAAGTTAGCGAGAGAGTTTGCTGAGTCTCTAATATTGACTGACCAGGCAGGAGGCAGACAGGATGAGAAAGAGCCGGAACCTGAGCTCCCGCGAACGTAAGGGGCCGTCTGTATATGGATAATAAGTATTGTGTAGATGTGTGTTCAATGTCATTCTTTCAAAAAGTACACTTCAGTTTTATCGTAGACAGCAATATATATATATATATATATATATATATATATATATATATATATATATATAACACACACACACACGACACACACACACTACA